CTATCTGGAGGAAATAGATTAACCTCTGTAGCCCTGACACCGCACACTCACAACAGCTGTGGGATATTGAAAAGAGGATTGGCAGCGAAACGAGAAATGAGACGCGTCTAACAGATGAAACATCAAAAATTCAAGGGAATATTTTTTGACTTAACACAAGATTTACATGGTAAATTTCAGCGCAGAACTTCTCATTCACAAATGTTGAAAAGGACTATTAAGTGCTTGATTGTTAAACCGTATTTCATCATTTGACCATATGGTGCTGCTGTACCATGTGATCACAAAATATTTGTGGATTATTTTAGCCATGTAAGGAGTGGTTTTTCTGTTTACTATACATTTTTAAGCTGATGAGACATTCTAGCACATTCTGAGCACATTATCTATAGCACATTCTGAGTTTTCTGAAGATCAGGTTTCTCGGCCACACAACCAGCGATTCACCCTCAAGACACCCTTCACATTAAACACAAGTCAGTTTTGTGCAGTGAAATTAAGGTCTTATTTATGGATGTGCCAATCTACTTGATGCATTGTCCACAAAAATGACACAAAAACAGAAAAAGACACCAAAAATGTTTGCAACACAATCTAATGGCAGATTGTAACAATTTTACATGTTGGCGAATTGGTGGTTTCATATGAATTTGTAGAATCTCGTTTGTATGTTGATCTGTTTACGCCCCACAGACGGTTTGGTTTAGGCACATTACTGTACAAATCACATTGTACAAATTTATATGAAGCGCCACGTAATAAAATATTTATGTTTCATTATTAGATTGTTTGTTTCTATGATGTTTTAATAGAGATAAATTCGAAGACTTTTTAAACTGCCCAGTAACTTAAGTCCTGCAGTCGGCCATTACAATTCAACAGTACATAATTGCGCTTACTCAAAATGTGCAAATGTAATGGGTTGTTTGGTTTCACCACTATATCTGAACCTGGTTCAGTCATTTTTCTTGTCTCCTGTGTTTCTTCTCCACTGTTGAAAAAGCTACCAGCCTGTCTGAAAAAGACCTCAGTGATTGTGCCCCTGCAGAGAACATTGTATGAACATTACTGTATATTAATTATATTCTCCATTTCCATCTCTTTTAGAGCACTGTGCTAGAGGACTGAAGGAAACATCCAATTAAGTGATTTCCTCTCACAGTTTTCCACTCAATTTAAGTGTTAGGGCTTTAGCATTGTTGTTTTTAATGGGAGGGAAAAACATTCATTTAGCATTTCTGCAAGCTGAGACATAGTCTGGAGTTCTCATTGCAGGTCAAATGCAGATGAGATTTGCCAAAGTAATTTCTGGTAATTTGCTTTGATTCACTTCATACTTTGCACTGCCATCCAAATTCTAATTTCTGGAAAACATGGTTTTAGACATTACTGTATATACAATGTAGTCATTTTGAATCTACTTATATTAAACAAACAAAAAAGCAAATGTATTAGGGAATATTAAGCAATATGTGCTGGTCTACCATGAAAAGTGCTGTATCGTCCAGTCTGAAAAGTTCATGAACTTAATGAAAGAAAATTAATTAAACCGTTTATCTGAATTAAGTACTGAATTAAGTATTTTTCTGATACTCTTGTGCCAATTGGCCTGTGGTGCTAAAGTTGATTATATAAAACCATATCAAATGGAAAGGAAAGTTAAAAGTATTAATGAATTTAGTTTGATGATATAACGGAAAATAACAAGATCTAGAGTATTATACAGTACATCTACAGACTGATAAGATCCTGAGTCATGCCTCATGTCAAATCATTCTGGAATGACTTGACACTTTAGAAGAATAGAATGAAAAGGATTATTATGGGATTACAATTAAATTTAAAAGTTGACCACTTGGATTGTCTGAAATGTTGAAATATCATACAATGTCAAAGCTTTGTGACAGTGTTGTATCTCTAAAGTACTGTAAAACTGTAGCTCCAAAACCTATAAGCTACTTATAATTTGAGTTATCCACACTAGTGGCAATTTTAAGTAGTTTGTTTTACACTACAAGCTGTTAACAAAACTGTAGCTATCAGTAGCAGTAGCAACAGTAGCTAGCTAATTTGAGGCAGCATCTTTTTAAAGGTACAAAACAATTAGGATTTTTAAAGAATTTATGATATTAAACTATAGGCTAATTGTAGTCTTATGGTTGTGCAGCACTTAGGACTGAAGTTAAAGTAGACCTGTTGAACTAAACCTGAAAACTTCAAGCCAGGACTAATAAGGAATGTTCATTTGGGGCTTATATTCTGGTTTAAGTCTTAAACCCCAGCTGACCTATTAGGTTAATGTCATATGTGCAGGGGTCAAACTCTAAATGTGGTTGGCATGCCATTACTGTCATCTCGGTAGACCAAGAGTATGTTGATCCAACCTTATCCATCTGCCCCTAATACCAGCAATCAGCAGGGGATAAGAAGCTTGGTTTGCTACCCACATCTGCAGTGCCCTTTTAAACCTGGAGGCCAGATTGGTC